GGTTGAAGCAACTGTGAGATTTAAATTCAAGCTCTCCCTGAATTTACATTGAATTTGATTTAAAGTCTAGTTCTTGTATAGCCTCCACGTAATTATGTATGCACCTAATGTGAATACCTAGATTTTACTTAGCATTAAATTTGGGCATGATGTGGCTAAACCTAAAATTAATCCAATGTTAGTGTGTACCCTTCTCATCCATCTAAATTCTAGCCAAGATGAAAAAATAAAATCTCATCCACTCATTTAGTTTGTTTTGCTGATTAACAAAATAAAAATTGCACGAAAGTGTTTCTTTGATCAACTAAATTGTTAAATAACTAGTTGAACATATCTACTAGCTATTTGACTGTCATTTGAAGAATATCCCATAAATTAGCGCCTCATAAATTTGTAAGCAGGCAAAGCATTTATTCTATGTAGTTAATAAAGTATAATATCTCATTAATCATCTTACAAAATAATTAGCAATATTTCATAGCTAGTTACCTATAATTACCACTTGATCGACTGAATAAGTATTAAAGCACTGAAGTTGCCAGTAAATCAAATACTTTACACGGTTAACTCAACTCAAATGACTACTGCTACTGATAATCCAGATTAACATGTCAAACAAGAACTCAACTAGATATAAACTCCGTTACATACCAAACAGAAATCAATCTAATACTCAACTTAATGCCACCTGATTAAATAATCCTTTTGGATGAATAGTTATACTTCTACTACCACGCAGCCCTTCAAATCCCACTCATTGGCACATAACAAAAAAAAAGATTCATATAAGTCCTCAAGGAAAGCAAACAGATTTATAAAGTTTGAATAAGAGATGGGAAAAGGAAAGGCCAGGAGGGTACCCGTTCAATAAACGGCTGACGGACTTGGAGAACTCTCGCGGAATCTGAATGGCAAGAAGATTGAGTTTTACATCGAACTTGCTCTCATCCAAAATCACGCGCTCCTCCATTATGTCCACGAAATGGAAAGCGGCACAAGTTCTATGAAACTCCTTCCTTCTTCTTGCCGGGCAGTCAGACGCTTCTCGGAATGGCCGAAAGAGACGAATGCCCAATTGCCCTAGTAGAGTTTCGGTTTTTGTGGGCCGATTTTGGCGATCAGGTTCAGAACGGGCTGGGCCGAGTATTTCGCTTCAAATATTCAGGAATGAATATTTATAAAATATTCAGCAAATATTTACAAAATACTCATTATCATTTACAACTAAATATTTATTTAATATTTATTGAGTATTTACAAATACACAATAAATTCAGACAGTTCTCCCCGTCTGGACTCCAAATGTAATAATTTCTCCTGCGCGAGAGCCATCAGCTGTGCACAGGGCTTAATATTTTTTTTATATTGACCAATTAAGACAAACTCATACATGCATCATATATATAAGATTTGAACTCAATACCTCTTAATTAATAGTCAACGCTTCCAACTAACAGATCAAGAATAATTGCATAGATAGGAGCTTAGTAGTTACGCCTCTAGGGCCGATTTTGACGATCGGGTTCAGAACGAGCTTCGCTTCAAATATTCAGGAAATACTCATAAAATATTCAATGAATATTAATAAAATATCCAGTAAATATTTACAAAATAGTGAAATACTGATTATTATTTACAACTAAATATGTGTTAAATATTTATTGAATATTTACAAATATACAATAAATCCGGACAATTTTCCCCATCTGGACTCCAAATATAATAATTTCTCCTGCGCGAGAGCCGTCAGCCGTGCACGGGGCTTAGTATTTTTTATTATTTTATAAAATAAATAAGAAAATAAATAATCTTCTTAGAGGGTCGCTTTTGAACTTAATTCCACATATAATGGTTGAACTTTATGAACAAAATAGATGTTCGATCATTATTCTAATAAGCATAAATCACTAAATATGGTATTTAAAGGTTGCTTGTTTTCAAACATAGGTTTCTCTTATAACATCCTTTCTATTATAAATATAGATTGATGACTACATTCAAATATATCTACCAAAAAATACGAACACTAACATATATACGTTTGAAAGAGCTTTCTATAAAGCTTTATGAAAAGTAGATTATCACCTAAAGATGAAGAAAGATGTTGACATTAATAGATGTTTAAGCACCTATCACCTTTGTGTTGTTGCAATGTCAGTAAATATTATGCCTTCTATTATCATTTCAAGAATAATTTCGTTCATTCAAAAGCAACCTTCAAGCATATTTCCCAAATAAAACAAAAATTAGAGATTTATGACTAATTATTTGTAATATGAGGCATATAAAGTCAACATTTTTTATTTTTAAGATAATTGTGCTTTATAAATTTAGAGTGAATTTATTTATTTATTTATTAAAATTTCATTTATTATTCACTTGGTTGTAAAATGAATGTTTTTTTTTTTTCTAGAGTAGTACAAGATAAATACACAATGGGGAGAGGAAGGTCAAGAGATAGAACTTTAGGGTATAGGGTTTAGTTCATGCTAGGGAGAGAGATGAAACTCCCAACTTTGAAAATACTCAACTTTAAGACTTCATGCCATTTTCTTAGGGAAAATATTATATATATGTGGTATGGAACCTAGGCTATCACTAAAGGTCTAAGACATGCCATGATAATCCATTAGATTGCATATTCTGATAAGATAAGGTAGTTAACCTAGGGATCTGAAAGCCAAGCAAAGGTAGGATCGTTAATCCTCATAAGACTAATTATAAAAGATTGAGATCAAGAGCCATTCGTGATTTAGCTAGGAGGAGAATCAACAGTAGATTTATCTAAGATGATAAAATCACCTGATATAATAAAAGGTCATATAGGACTCACTAGAATGAGATATCAAAGGTTATGGAGTAGATTAACGCTTACCTATGATTTATCTAAGTTAGCTAAGAAAAGATAGGTTTACCTAGAATAACATGATGATTCAGAATTTATCTTGAATGAAAAAATGGTCTTAAGATTTTCTTTGAGTGACTAAGACCATGTAAAGCTAGTTGAGATCTTCTAGGATTTATCTAAGATTTTAAATCTATTGAGCTAAAATGACTTGGGGCTAACATAGAGTTGGCTCAAGTAGTATAATATTATCTAGAATACTAGGTTTTCTTGGATTATGTAAGATCATTTAGAGTTTATATCGAGCATCAAAGTTCATTAGAACCAACCAAGATGCACAATGTTTGATTAGGGCCACCAATATTACGTTTATAATTCATTAAATTTCCATTAGACCAATTATGTTTTAATTGATTCTAAGTCACGTGAGATTGGTCATAGATGTTAATATAAATCTAAGTCATTTTCAAAAATTTTGATAAATTTTTATTTAGAATTATTTAAATCGTTAGTAAAATTATAAACCTAGAAAGCAGAAATAAATTTAAAAATATTTTTAGTAGATTATATTTGATTTTAAAATATTTGCAGCATATTTTATCTTTTTTTTAAAAAAAATTTTCTATGGAGAGTAATGATTTTTTTAAGGTTAAATGATTTATTAAAACCCTTTAAATAAATTATAGTTGATTGCACAGCATGCTTACACGTGACAATAATCCATTGGATGTGTTCTCCTGTGCAAAGACCCACAGGAACGGTGCAAGCTTGATTAGGTTAGACCTGGAACTTCAGGAATAAAGAAACGAATATGATCAAAGTCGACTCGTTAACGAGCTCGCGAGTTGAGCTTATCGAGTTTCCAATTTGAGTTTGATCTCAAGCCTATAATCGAGCTCATTTACTAAACCAGCTCGAGTTAGAGCTCAGTCCGACTTGACTCATTAGCTTGTCAAGCTACTTGATTTTAAAATATATTTTTAACCATTTTTAATATACCGTTTTCTTAAGAAGTTTTTAAGATAAAAAAAAATCTGAGCTTCATAAACGAGTCGAGTTTGAGCTTTTTAATCGAGCCAAGTTTGAGCCTGATTTTTATAAAGCGAGTCGAGTTCGAGCTCATTAAACGAGCTTGAGCTCAAACTCAAGCTCAGCTCGATAATGTCACTACTCAACTCGACTCGCCTCGTCTCATTTACACTCCTAGCCATCACACAAACTATGAAACCAGATAATCAAATATGATTATAAGAAAATTAACAAGCTAATATGAAAAATAGGTTTAAATTCATTTTCTGGTCTTAGGGTATTATAGAGTGGTATCACAACAACGGTTGAGAGGAAATCAATACCAGAGCTGTAGGAAATGATTTGTAAAGTAAAAGATATTAGGTAGTTAATGTTTATTTCTATAAGATTAATTGTAAGTCATTAAGGTCGTTATTGAATACCTTTTTGTTTTGAATAATTTGAAGCGTTGTTGTGAATGGACTCTCAAGATCCTAAAATAGCATATGGGCAGAATTCTAGAGCTGTTACAATCTATAGTACAAAAGAAGTTGTAGCATTAGATTCAATTATGTAGTTTGCTAGGCTAGTATCACAGTTGATGGGAGAAGCCAAAGCAAAATGTTAGTTGTGAAAGGGAGATGAGATAGACCGTCATTTGCAGCAATTTTTTAGACTGAAACCTCCCCGATTTCAAAGAGCCATAGATCCTTAGACTGTAGAGGATTGGTTGTTGAGGTTGGAGAAATTATTTGATAGTATGTAATATCTTAAAAGTAGGATGGTGCCCTTAGCAGTATTCCTTCTGGATGGAGAAGCCGAGCGCTAGTGGGTAGGTCAACAAAGTGAGAAATTTCAAAGAAGAGCGAATACAAAGATTTCTTGGAAAGAGTTCATGGAGACAGATTGGTATGTCCCGTTATCTATAAGGCAGCAGATGTAAGAGAAGTTCTAACCCCACTTGCTAAAAACGGGTGTGAGAGATAATGCGATAATGTTATATTTTGATTCTTACCCCACTTACTAGATGGAGGTGTATGAGATTAAAGAAAGACATAAAAAAATGGAGTTATAAGCAGACATTAAGACGTGTATTTTAATCATTTTCTTGCATATGTTATTATATCTATAAATTAAGCATAAGTAATAATTCTGAACCGAATGTTAATAATTAGTGAAATTTAAGAACAAGTGAAACTTCAATAGCAAATGTTATGTGATAACAACATACACTTAATTCTCCAGGGCATCACACCAGAAGGGCCAAAAATGCTAAAGAAAAAATTTTGCTTATTCTGTTCATTGTCTGAGGAATGAAACATACACTGATAGATATGCCAAAAATATGTTGCAGATAGAAAGAAAAAATTATAATCTGCAGTTTATATTCCTCCCTTGCAACATGAGAATCTTGACCCTGCGGTGAAGCGACAAACATATATTAACATGAAGAAAAAATAATAGCAAGCAGAATCTCTTATACAATCCAGAACTTTGAAGCAGATTTAGAAAGGACCATTATTTATTAGAACATACATATATGCAGCACTTTCATGGCTACTACGGAAAGGATCATCATTAAGCATTTAGGTTCACAAATTTGTTCGGTAATCAGATTGAGGTTTCATTTGAGACGATTTTTTTATTGCTTCTTAAAACAGCTTTTTAATTTAAAAATTAAAATTTTTATACTAAAAAGATGATTGAAAAAACAGTAAGAAAGCCATCCCAAACAAAGTCTGAATCATCAATATGTTCACAAAAGAAATATATTTTTAGTGAATTTTGAAACAAGATTAAGAATAAGTGTTTGTGGCAGGAAAAGGAACTTCAATGGAAGATTTGCAATTTAACGCATCTCAACTACTTTCTTGTCATTTAATGGTACTCAATAACGACACCAGAACTTGAAACAGTGCATTTCTAATCATAACATGCAAACACATTGCAATGAAGGCAAACCTAAATTCTACTTTCACCACCATTAAAAGTTTATTATTGCATCAATAATGATTTTCCTGACAATAATATCTGACAAGTGTTTGATTAAAGAAATAACATCTCATCAATAATTATTTTACATTACTCAGTAACCTCTAAGGGAACTGTAATTTCAATGGCTCAAGTAAAATGACAAAAGCAAAATAAAGTAACATATGATTACTTGCTATTTAAAAGAAAATTCTCAAATGCTTAATTAGTTTTTGACCAAGCCAAACATTGCTAATATTGTGAAAAACTAAATTCTTACTCTTTAATCAAAATAAGGAAAGTTTTTTTATCGGATGCAGTGGAAGATGGTAAGAGGAATAGAAGAAAGGAAGAAAAACCTTTGTAGCACGTAGCAAGTTGCAGCACCGGTGACAGCTTTGAGTTCAGCTTGCTCTGTTCAGCATCTTTGAAACCCCACACCTTTCCTCATTAGACGCAAAAACCTCTACTACATGCATTCCAGTTCCTTTTGCATAAAATAGGATATGATTGTAATTTTCTTTATGCATTTTTTCTACAGCAGAACATGAATCACCTTCATGAGATTAGAATCCATTAAATCAAAAGAGGAAGAAAAGGAACAAAAATAAAGAATGGAGGATGATGGAACTATAAAAAATGAATTTGCCTTGGCTCTCTTTGTTGCACTTAACTTTCATAGGCACCAATGAAAAGCAGATAAGATGTGAGTAAAAAGGATGATAAGGAATTTTGTTCAAAAAAAGAAATTCAAATTATCTTTGAATCCCTGCCAAACGATAAAGTTTATTAGAGTAATTCTCAAGCTTGATGGATTGTATCTGAGAAATTATCTGATAATCCATCATCAAAACCAACCCTAATTTCTTCAAGATCATCATCAGAATGAACTTCAATCCGGGATGGACTCTCATGATCAGAATCAGTTTCAGTTCCTGTGACATTTTCATCATCAGAATCTGCTCCAGTTCCGGCGAGGTAATGGTCATCAGAATCAGCCTCATCCGCACTAATATTTTCATCGTTTGAAGTAATTTCATCTAGAGAATCTTCTGATAAAGTTTTGCTACAATGAGGAGCATTTTCATCTGCAACCAATCCTGAACCTATTTTTTTTAATTTTGGGGGATTCTTTCTGTCACTACCGTATACAAAATCTGCATTTCGTGTATTTGGGTCACCGTAAAGTGCAATATGTCTGTAGTAAAGCTCTAGTTCCTTCTCAGCTATTGAAATAAATCTCCTCACAGTTTCCAGTGATTGCTCATACTTTGATTTTTCAAGTGCCTGGAGCATTAGATTCATAAAATTTAAGTGCTCAAAAAACAGAAGAGAAATTTAAAATGATTAGAATAAGATTAAAAAAAAAAACTAATTCAGTCAACAAAAACATACTCTTTTCTTAGATAACGTATCAATGGGGGACATAACTTCTGGCTGCACATAGTTCTTCCCTCGATAAAATATTATCGTATCATTTCCAATAATTTCAATAGGAACTCCACCACTCAGCCTAGCTAACTCTTTAACATATTCATGAACCTGACCTGGCTTGCAGGGTTTGCAAAGAACTTTAACTGTTTCATGTTTTTTCCAATGCAAATGCATGTTAAGAATTACTCCTCCAAATACGCCTCTCCTTCCAATTGGCACATAATTAGAACTTTTTTGTGCCATCTTTTTCATGTAGAATCTTTCCTCTCCTGTTAAGTTATCTTCATCTGGGCAAGGACCTTGAACTTGGGGAACTTCATACTTCTTAAGCTTTTCTATCAAAAACGCTTCCTTTACTTTGGCCTGCAAAGTTGAAAATTAGGAATTTAGGATCACAAGAAAGTAAGCCATAAGTCTTGTAAGAAATTACTAATCCTAAATGCCAGTATCCCATGTATAAATCTTTAGAAAACAAGACAATGCATGACATGAATTTCCTCCATGAAAACTTCAAGAAGGAAATAGAATGGTTCAATGCAGTAATTTAAAAATCTCCAAAAGAGAACAAAGAGACAAGTCTATGATAGGACTTAACACTGTATACTTTCATACTAAGATTCACTTACGAAGTACATGGCATTACCTTGGAGAATAATAGACAAGCATGACTTGTTTCCAACCTAATATGTTGGCCTGTCCTTACTGACATCGCAAACAATCCTTTGCAATAAAAAAATGCGGCTTAAAATGATGCTTTGAGGTTGGATGGTATCTAGGGTTGCAAGCGAACCAAACGGAACATGAACTGAACATGAACCGAACATGAACACTCATTAATTTAAATGAACCAAACATGAACACAAACAATAAAGCTCGAACAAATATGAACCAAACTTGAACAAGCTGATATTAAATGAACACAAATATGAACACTCATATACTCGGCTCGGCTTGGTTCGTTTGCAGCCCTAATGGTATCCATCTTTTATTCAGATCTTCTAGGAATTTTAGCAGATTTTGAAAGTTTTTCAATGACAATACACAGGCAACTTCAAAATTTCATTGATGCGGTCTAGGAACATAGTAGCATAGCCTAATTGAATGTGTGAAAATAGAAAACAGATTCTGCGTGTCTAAGATACCAATGAGCTGTAAAACAATGTCCCATAATCTAGCACAATAAGACATTCACCGCATGTAAAGGAACAAAGCAACACAATTCTGCCTTGTTTTTCTTATACTTGCTTTAAAATAAATAACTATTTTTTTCCCTCCCACCCTCCCTCTTTTGTGGCGTGTCATCAAAGTGGGTTGACAAGTGCTTCTATAGATTGTTCTTATGATAGTAACCATGGCAAAGATGACATCGGGTTGCTAGACCAAAATGGAGCTTTACTCACTTGGAGGCGAACTCAAGAGCACCAAAATCAAGAAGACTCAAGCGCAAAGTCAAAATTTAAGTTTGTTCAAAGTCTAGTCAATGCTTAGCTTTCAAAAAGAAGTTTAAGATAATATTTACAAAGTATGCTAAGGAGTGATGGATACATAAGCTAAAATTTGCTAAAATATTTTATTTATAGGCATAAACATAAACTATCTTAAGAAACACATATACTTGTATGTTAACTAAAAAATTAATATGCAAAAAAAAAATTCTAATAACATCACATCAGACCACACAATCTAATCGTACAACATAATATATGTATTGAACCATATATTTAAATTTACATTCAATTTGATATATAGGGATCATAATGGATAACACAAATCATACATTATGATATGTATCATATAATGTGATGATGATTGTATTGTAGGATCATTAATTACTCAGTAGCCATTATCTAGCCATTGTAAATCATTCAATGAAAGATCATTTGCTATCTATAGATTGTACAATATAATGCATATCCCATTCTCTACAAAAGAGAAAAAGAAGAACAAAGAGAGCTAAAGTGATTTTTTGCATTTTCCTGCTATTGGGACCATCAGCAATTGTCGCCATCATCTCCAGACTAGTATAAAGATCTAACCTTTTTTGTTGGGTTTTTAACTTGCAGACAATTGAATTATGTAGTCCTTATAATGGAAACCAGACAATTATTTTTAATATAATCCCACCTCTTCAACTGTGAGGAAGAAATAATTTTTGTATCTCTTATTATATAGTGGGGTTTTCAACTGGGCCAACCCTTGTAATTTTTTTCATGCCTAGATTTTTCACATAAAATTTTTTTATCTATTACAACTTGTATTTGTGCGTGCTAAATTTTTGTCCAAAACTAAGACATAAAAAATACATTGTACCGACATAAATTTTCTAGCACGTAAACAAGTGCAATAATTATTAATAATTAGTATAGTAATTGAGCATATTTTTAACAATGCTAATGGTCATATATACCAAATGGTTTCACAAAGAATATCCTAATGATGATATGATAGATTTAAAAAGCTTAAATTCCACTATTTTAAAGAGGACAAATAGGAGAAATAATCCATGTGTTCATCATCAACATCAAAATCTCCTTTGGCTCTTTGTACAGTGATCCTTACTAAATCTTTTAGGATTTGTATTTTATTTAATTGCTCTTATTGTGATTATTTTGCAATCAAGCTTTGTGCAAACCTTAATTATAGGTTATAGTATTAAAATACCTCCAAAGTTCAACAAAGTTGAGAGCTTTGGTTTATATTAAGAAGAGTCTACATTACCTGGTGAATTGTGCTGAGAGTGATCGATTTCTAGCCTTGAAATAGGAACATTATGACTAAGTAGAGTGTGTTAGTAGTGACACTTTGAAGTAGAATCATTTAGTGGTACTATTGCTCAAAATGAGTAAGTGAGGTCTCTTTCCCTAGAAAAAAAGAGGAAGTACCAATTTTTTTTTCCCTACACATGAAGTGAAGGAGATTGCTTGTAGCAGCAAACTCAAATAGGAATCCTAGTACCAAGTTGTGCTAGATGTGAATATAGATCATGGGTGGTCGAACTATCTAAATATTTTAAATGCAATAACTCTGCAACTTAGACTTACCTTTTATGCATATTTATGTATATTGTAATTTATGCTATCATACTTATGTCGAATGCAATATTTGCTCTAGTTATTTTGTATAGAGTAGAATAAAATTATTTATCTATCATATATATAAATATAAATTTATTCAATTCTTTATAGCATCATTATTTGGACACGTGTTTTCATGTTTTGTAAGAAGTAATTTTATTAGTTTGCATAGTGTAATGAACTCACATAATTGTGCTTATAATCTTTTTACTCATAATAGCTTAGTCTTTTTAATCAACAACATTACAAACTCTACTTATAGGGTTGATCAAATTGATATCAAATTTGTATAGTTGTGGGTTGAGTATCATATAGATAATATAATGCTTAGACTACGCGCATCATAACATATCGCACATTGTATTATTTCATACCTACATTTACTTACATTATCATTATATCTACTGGACAACTTGCGTGGTGTCACTTGTACGAGTGCATAATACAACAAGTGTTTGCTTGCTAATATCAGGGAATACGCTCATTCAAAGTTTAGCAAAAAAGCCATACATTCATTTCTACTAGTTCATACTCATTCTGTGCATCATACTCCCTATATCTCTGCATGCATATAGTATTAGTCTTTGATTCCACACATTGAATCGATTTCTACATTACTTGCATCTAGTTTGTAGTTCGTTTATTACATCTGCATAAAATTTGGTTGATGTGGTTTTGAGTACTTGTTGTGTGCCTTCAACTTATGATCCATCTTTTTCATAAAGCAATTAAGAGCATTTTTTAGTTAAATCCTACTTGTTGCCAAACAACCCCTGACTTTTCATATTGCTTCTAATTCTGCGATAGTTTTTTCTCTCAAAAATAATTTTAAAACCTTGGCTCTTCAATAAATAAATATTAAAATAGCTAGCAGAGATCACTTATCAGGATTTTGCATTACTAGGCATGTAGGGATGAATGACTGTAAAAAAAAGGTGGTTATCAGGAAAACAGAATCGTGAAAGAGAAAAGTGGAAATAAATTTAGGGGCTTCTCTGAACAATGAATTCGCAATTTATGATCAGCAAAGATTTTATGGAAACTTGAAACTGCCGTGTCATGAATCATAGTGCCACAGACTACCCACTTTGCAGCAATACCCATCTCGGTTGCCTTTATGGTTTCAAAAAGAGTATGAATGGGTTATATATGGAGTAAGTCCTGTATCTAGCAAAGTTGCATAACATAAAGTCCGAAATATACCCCAAACCCTGAACAAAACAATTTTCAGAAAATCAAATTATATGATAAAGATGCTACCGTTCACAAAAAAAAAAAAAAAAAAAAAAAAAAAAAAAAACAGTAGAAGTTGATATGCAAAATCACCTTCTCAATCTTGTACTTGATCCGGGCTTCAGCATTGGGGAACTTCTGCTTCTTCTTCCGCTTTGGTCCAATACGACGCGGGTCCCTCTTGTTTGCTTCCTTCCTCTTTCTCTTCTCTCTCTTCCTCTGCATCTTCAGCCGTTTCTTACTCTTCCACTTCTCCTTCTTCAGCGGGTCCATTTCGTGGATTTCGAACTTCGGCTTTCCATCAGATAGCACGAGATTCACCGACCCGGAGCTCAAAACCCTCGCGAAAATCGAGCAATTGCATGAATCGAAGGAATTGGCGCTGTTGAGATAGGAGAGAAGAACGTTCCTAGACAGAGAGAGAGAGATTAGTGATGAAGACGGCATCAAACGAAAGCGAAGGCAATGAAGTGACAAGAGTATATAGACCTTGGAGAAAAGAGCGGAGGTGAGGAAAGATTTGAACGAGAGGAAAGCAGAAGAAGAGGCGAAGGGGCTTTTCTTAGCAACTGAAACCAAAGGAAGCGCCACGCCATGTCTGCTCATGGGCGAGCCGAGAAGCTCTTGAAAGGCGAAGGGGAGAAGTTTTGGGATTGGGGTTTGATTGGGTTCCAAGGGGAAAATTATTGGGTAAGGTCACCAGATCAGTTTCGGTATTCAGAGTATTGAGCTCGATACTGTGAAGTACTGAGTATCGAGCAGTACTGAGCTCGGTACCGAGCAGTACTGAGCTCGGTAATGTTTGGTACTGCTCAATACCTAGCTCAATACCGAGTAGGAGGTGATGTGGCGCATTTTCATTGGGCTCCGAACACGTCGGGTGACCTGACCCAATAATTTCCCGTTCGAAAGTGGCAGCCGCGGAGCCAGAAATTATTTTATTATATAAGTCATTTTATTTCATGCTATTTAGAAATCTAACTCCTAAAATTTTAATATTATATTCCAATCATTCATATAAAATTTTACTATCAAATATATATCTCTCGTATATTTCATTCTTACCACCAATACCACCCTATAAACTTTAATATTTTATTTCATGCACCCATATTTGCTCTATAGTTGGTATGCTTCTAATATTAAAATTTTGGGTATTAGACATATAAAAAGCATGAAATAAAGTGATATATATGTAATTTCCCTTATATTTAACGGGCACAAATTAATTGATCCTCTTTCATTATAACATGAACATTTTTTTGTCGTGTATTATATTGATTTTAAATTAATTAAAAATTTTAATTTATTATAACAAAATTTTAATTATAATGCTTAGGTTTTTTTTAATATAAAAATTATAAAAATCACACTTAATATATGTAAGTAGAAGTGTCGAATCAAGTAATATAGTGATAGAGGATAGTAACGATCCCGCGATATGATGAAGAATATTTACTTGCAAATACTAGTACTGTCTACTAAAATTACAATAATTATCTTACTCAATAAAATTAAGTTTTAATCGTGATTCAATCACTTAATTTAAAATAAAAAAATAAATGAAACACTATTTGGATGAAATATTATAGATTGATGGAATATAAATACAATATATTTTCTAATTATTCTCTTTTATATTGATGTTATTCGGAGTATATGCATCACCGACTACTCAATTGAGTTTGAAGAGACAAATGATATATTAAACCTTCTAACCGCAATACCACTCTAAACTCACATATTCTATCGCCCTATGAAAATCTTAGAAGAGTGGGTAAAATATGATTGTTAAAACCCTCTCAATATAATTCATCTATATAAATTTCATATATGTCAAGCACTTTGCCTATACTTACATCATATCAATACAATAAACCTTGTTATGCCTGCTTTCATATTCATATGCTACAGATATATATATATAACCATTATGTGTATTAAATGAAGATCTTGTATATTAAAAACATCATTAAATTATTGATGAAGATAATTTAGTCAGACATAAAGAATAAGTGAAGTAAACTTATTTTTATTAATTGAACAAAAGAACAAAGAAAAGATATCACTAGATGTGTTCAATGATCTCCTCTACACTACTCATTGAACTAACATAATTACTTTCATAAATATTGACCAAACACTCTTATGAAGTTGATCAAATACTCCCTGAATTCTCTTAGTTGTCACTCATAAGAAAATTATAGAGAAGCACTATGAAGTTTGAAATTAACTATGTGACTAAACTCCCTTACTAGTATTACAAACAAACTATTTATAAAAAATACATAAAATAGATTCTAATGTTGTGGCACTTTAAACAGTTGTGTTTTGGCATCCACAAAATGAATTAACGTCGTAGCGTTGAAGAATTTCTTCCTTAGTGGCACTTGCTGATATGGACCCATCGTTTAATGAAATGATGTGTCACTTTATCGATATATTGTACCTTGGTCGATTATAAAAATAGCGTTGCGACACTACTAACGGTTGAGCACTAAGGCGTCCATATAACACTCCTATTAGCATGACGACACTATAAATTGGCACCGTAGCGCTGTGCAAATAGAGACTGAGCTTTACAGTGCTGACTCCTCCAACATCGTTATGATGTCAAACAGAGATAAGGAGCCTCCATGTCTATATTAGATGCTCCGGCGATGTCAGTGATGGTGTCACGGCGATATAGTGTCCAACTCCACCGTGATGTATAATACTTAGAATTTTATGCCTTTCCTTTATTTTTCCTGTACAACACAACTAAAACAACACAGTTTTATTAAAAATTTAACTTATAAAATATAACATTATTTACATTAATCATATATTGATGATTTATTTTATCTTAGGTGACTGGTAGGGTGATTATTCCTTAAATTTCATTGTATTCCCCTTAGAATCTGAAAAGGCATCCTTAGTAAGGATGAGTTAAGAAATGAGTATATTCATTTTATTGAATACTAACTTGAAGGTTATGTTTATCAAACTTTTCATATCAATCAAAATGCTACTAATCTGGTAGTTAGCAATTAGGGCTATAACAATAATGGCTTCATTTTGGGCTAGTAATTTATTCTTGTAAATGTGTTGAAAGAAAGAAAAAAACTTTTTTCTATTGTCCCTCTTTCCCTTTTTGTAGGGTTCCGAAGGAAATGAAGATTGTGTCCCTAATATGAAAGATAGAATAACAGTTGAGAATGACGAGGCAAGATAGGTCTGATGATGATCTAGAGTCATCCCGCTGACATGAGGAGGGATGAGTAACATTTGGATGTAGTCTTCGGGTTGGCATGAGAGAGATTTTTGAAGTGGTAATGTTTCATTTGCTGTTTGATGTATCTCACATGGGAGAGTTAATTCTAGCTTAATTGAATAAAAATATGTCTAACTAAGAGAGGAACTCACCCTTAACTGGGGGGGGGGGGGAATGTTAAGCTCCTTCCAGCTCTAGAGCGAGTCCCTTAAACTAACAATTCTGAGAGAGGAGTGGTCCTCCTTCCACTCGACCTAAACATGGCCTGTAATACACATGCGAATGGACTCCTATATAGGCAATCCTGGCTGTAAAGTTATGGATAGGTTCGTTTTATTAATTCTTTTTTGTTTTTAGATACTATATATACATTTTAATAAAATTAAAGGAAATTTATGAATCAATTTATTTCATTTTATTTATTGATGCTAATTTGAAGCTATGTGGTTCATGTGTAATTTTCTAGGAGATATTTGAATAGCACATTAAAACTTAGATCTTGAGCTAGCATGTCCCAATTTAACATGATATGACTTGTCTGTTTGTGGGTCATATCGGATTGGGTATTTACAATCCTTTTTTGATATCAGAGTAATGGTTTATGAGGAAGCTAATTATAAAATAGAGCTATATAAATTGATTTGTAATCGAGAGAGATGGTTTTAGGTAATGTTTGGGCGTTCATTTATGCATATTTTTATATGCATGTTTGTTCAACTACGTGTTATGTGTAGCTATTTGATGGATTCGATAAATCCAGATATGACATATAGGCAAAGTGTCAGCCAGACAACACTAGTGTAGAGTATTACTCTGCATCTAGCTATGATTATATTCATAGCTTGTCAATTTGGTAGCTCGGATCATGGGTGATGTTATAACTCAAATTTTTGAAAACAATATTTTGACCTACAACATTTAAGAATTTATTCATAAGTTATTATTAGCCCAAATCATAAAATGTCTTCTCCATAGCATTTCTATTATTGTGTTTTATTTTTTCAAAATTTTTCATAAATTTTGGTCACTCGAAAAATTCCTTAAGAAATTGGCACCAACGGTACAAGTGGGGGTTTTGGGACTATCAAGCGTCCGTTTTGTAAATCGATTTATTTGAATTATTTAAATAAAATAATTTATTTTGTAGATATTTTTCTATAATTTTTTAAGCCATAAAATAATTTCTATAAATTTTATACTGAAAATTCATTAAAATATTATTATTATATTATTATTTTATAAAATATCTAAAAGCATAACATGTTATTTAAATGGCTTCATAACATGTTATTTAAATGGCTTTAAAATCCCTTTTCCCTTGTTATTTGCGTTAACAGAAACGTTTGGGTGAATAGAGAAGAAAAGGGAGGAGAGAGAAAAGGGAAATTAGTTTTTGGGAGACGTAGAGCAATTTTTGACCGTCGACCAAGTTGGAAAATTTGCTCGACTTAAGATAGGTTACATTTTGTCTATTTCAAATTTCAATAATTTTATATATATTTTTTTATTTTTTCGCTCAAATTTGTATTTTCGTTACCGAAAAATAATGATAACTTTATTTTGATAAAACTTTCACAGCGTAACTTTTTATATGTTGTAGACATTGTGATTACGAACATTTTGAGTATATTTTAATTTTTTTTGTTAGGTGATTTTGAAAAAGCAGGGATGTTTCAATTCTCAGTAATTTATTTTAATATATAAAAATAGTGCTTCAGTTCAATTAAAGCTTCAAAAATATGTTTTACACAATTTGCGATAATTTGGTTATATTTGAAAATTGTAAATTTTTACTCGGTAGTATTTCTGTTGTCAACTGTTGGGACATTTTGGTAATATTTGAATTCAATCTTATTATGATTTAATTAATGAAATGTATTAAAAAATATGTTATAAAGTGTTGTGATGTGATGCCGGTGCTAGTGGGCGGCTGAGGTGGGATTTTTTTTATGCCGATGCTAGTGGGGCGGCCAAGGTGGGATTATGTTACGTCGGCGCCAGTGGGCGACCAATGTGGGATTCTATTACGCCGGCACGAGTGGGCAGCCAAGGTGAGATTTTTCAAGCCGGTGCTAGTGGGCGACCGAGATGGAATTCTATTATACTGGTGAGATTTTGTTACCTAAGTGTTGTTATACCGGAGCCAATAGGCTATCAAGGTGGGATTCTGTTATGAAATATTTGCTTATAATTCAACATAGTGTTCTCTTTTGATTTTGAGTATTGATTTCTATTTTTGGCTACAATAGCTTGCTAAGTCATGTTAGTTCATTCATGCTTTTATTTTTATTTTTAGATTTGTGGAAGGGTATGGAGCGAGCTGAGTAGTTGAGATATCATGCTCCGATCTGTGTTGTAGGTATGTTTTAAGTTTTTATTTTTGTAGGCTTAACTTTTTTTTTTTGTGTGTGTTATCTATTGTCAAGCACT